GCGACGCTGGATCTGGTGCCCGCGGAGGGCTGATTGCGGCAGAGGCAGCATTATTACCTCCGTTTGAAGTGAGAGACAAACGACGCTGGAAGTTGGATTTGGACCGAGAAAAACGGCGTTTAAAGCCGTCCATCTTTGTTGATACGGGCGAGCGAGGATCTTCTTCTACCACCGGGGACGCTCCTGATGATGCTGGCGATGCGCTGTTCTTCGCGCCCATGCGACTGAGGAGCTGTCGTCTGAATTCGAAGAACTCCTCGAGCGGCGTAGACGGTGTTTGGTACGGGTCCGGCACTGCATAGTCTATACACCACTGGCATTGGCAAGGCTGTGGCTGCGGCGCAGGCTGCCCTTCAACCGGTGACTTGTTGGGTACATCTTGCGACGTCTTCCCTGAAGATTCCGGAGCTCCCGCAGCCTCTGCGGCTACCAGAGACGTTGAAGATGCTAGAGCTGCTGCAGACAATGGCCTTGATAGACGATTCTGGTGCTGTTTTGACTGTGTATGTCCCATCTTCCTCCTACTCTCCTGTTGCTGCGGCAGCTAGTTACTGCTGGTCTCCGTGGACAAACGGGCAGCTCACCCTTCTCTCGTATCAATTGATGAAGCGAGGTAAAAAAAGAGAGAGCATCGAGCATCCAGCAAGAGAGAGCACTCCCAATAATAATAGCTCCTCGAAGCTCCCTGAGCTCCCAAAGCTCCTTTTCGTCCCCTCTCGTTCAGATCCTCCAGGGCCTGGCCAGGGTGGAAGGAACCAAATTAGACTGAAATTAGCCTAGCAGAATCCCTACCTATACAACCGTTCATAGCAACGAAGGATCAAGCCGTCGAGGAGGAAGCAGACAGGCGCCGTGAGAAGAAGACGAAGACCAACAGGACGGGTGACGGCGAGGGATAATTAAGGTCGATATTCCTCAGGCGAGGCGTGCTCCCTGTCCGCCACTGGCATCGACAGGCGTCCTTTTTTTTGTCTTCCTCCCTGCAGGCGAAGCTGTCTATCAAAGATGCAGCCGGCGCCTATCGCTCTATCGTTCTCTTCTTACTCATGCGATCTGAAACTCCCCGCATAAAAGAAGAAGAAAAGAAGGTAAACACGTTTAAAACCCGGCAGCTATCAGCGAATGAAGCACCGACAAGCTGCGGAATATATAACTTGCAGCAAGGGGGGCAAAGGGGGTGTTGGGGGCCGTCATGCTCACTGTCACCAAGTCCAACTTCCTGCTGTCAAGATGTCCAAGGTTCGCCATGGTGCAACTTAGAATGGGAAAAGGGAGAGCTTCCCGTCACACAACAAGGCATGGGTTGACGTTTGTTGCTGTCGAGTTGTCAAGGTTGCCTCTGGGCGAGACGTGGATAACTATGATGTTATGCTTAACCAGCTTCTTCATGCCTGGTCGGGAGAAAAGCTTGAGGCTGGCGACTTCGCCCCGTACTTATATACAGCTTGGCTGTCTCGTCCAGCTTTTGATAGTTGAGCATATATTCTGTCGATGGAGCGTATACAAAGGGCTGGCTGCTCATGATTTCATTCTCATATGATGATCCTGATCCCCAGCTAACTACTAGCTATGTTGTTACTTGGATAATTCGCCGGGGAGGGGAAGAGCCTATTGTTGTAGCAGTAGGCGCTGTCGTTGTTGACCCCTATTCCTCCACAGATGGAGACGGCTTACACTGACTTTTTGGCCATAGCTGACGGCCCTAGACGCCGTGAGACGAGTGCTTCCACCTCAATATTATCTGTGCTAGGAAGGTGAAGAGACTCACATGGGTTGATAGGCGTGGATCGCTAGGTTGCGCAAGTCCCGTCGTATCTTGTCACACAGCTCTCTCGTCTCTTAATTGACCACGAACCAGTCTCAGTGCCATATCGGGAGAGGAGAAAGAGGAGATATCAAAAGACTCTTGGGAAGATCAGATTCGCCCAGCTGTCCGACCCTTTCCCCCGTCCTACTTCGATGATTCGCAATTGTATATTATTATTAGGCAGCTGGTTATCCGGCTGGTAGCTTCAGGATGGACCGAAGGCCAAGACGGCCGCGAGCTCCACACAGAATAATTCTATGCCTCATCGAGGAAACAGAGGCAGCTAGTCAATCTGATCCATATTATCGTAGCTATTGTTTTATTCACGGCCCATGTTTAGAGGAGTACCTCAGAGCGCCGGTTTCACAGGTAACTTCTTTACCTGCTTTAGGTAAAAATTAGTCAACGGTGATATCCGTGCTGATGATATGTTTGTCTCTCCCTCAAAAAATAGCAGCGAGATGCTGAATAACTGTTGTCGAACCGAGTTTTAATTGTTCTGAACTCATTGAAACGCTTTCCTGAAATTTTCTTCAAGGAGGCGACAACTTAACCTGGTCGTGAAGGAGTTGGAGCTGCTAGGTAGTTATCCATATCTTTAGCCATCCTACAAATTTGCTCTCCATGACGTTGTCGCTTGTCAAGAAGCTGACGCATTTGGAGGCGTTGGTTCCAGATTTTCAGAAGAGTTATCGAAGTAGTTGGCCCTATTGCTGGCTTCATAGCTTAGCTACTCACTGAGCGTATGGTCGAGCACTGCATTATATGGGCAATAAATATCCGATTTGTTGGTAGAGATAACATCATCGTGGCGAGCGCTGCATCTTCAATCCATCATGGCATATGGAGTAGCCCGCGACGACTCCTCTGGCATGGAGAACGGCACTTTTTGATATCGCTGCCATCGCCTACCATGCTCACCATAGCTTTGAAGCTCGGCCGAAGCGTCAAGTTCATGCTCGGTGGCAGTCTATCTGCACAGCAGCGATGTTTCCCTGTTGTTGTTTGGTGTTGAAAGACTGAAAACTCGTTATTTAAATGGCCACCCACATGACTTTTTTTTTTTTTTTGGCTGATTTTGATGCCCTTCTATGCCATGGAGTAGTTAACAAGCCAGCATTTCTTTGCTATTCTCTGCTTCGTTGAGCGTTGGAATGTTCTGTGCCGTCGGAACTGACGGTGCTTCGGCCTTCCCATACTTTGCAGGCAGTTATATATACTCACGCTTATTCTGCAAGCCGGATATTTATACGGAGTATGGCATGCCTGTTCCCACCAGCCTAGATCAAGGTCCTCGCTCCGTATCCGATTTTTGAGCCGTATTTGGGATGCGATCCCCCTCCCCCTGGTCCACCCGGCTGCCCGGTTAAGCGTCCAGCCAGAGATACCCTATGACAGTGTTTGATCAGGGCGCTAAACATCCTTGAGTGTTTCCGGGACCTTTCCCCGTAATCTTAGCGAAGCAAGCGGTGAAGATGTTTACTCCAGTCTGATGGTGTACAGCGGAGGGCTGAGATACATACAGCCAGCTCATGCAGCGGAAAACTGCACGCTGGCACCACTTCGGCCCTCAGGGATCGTCAGGCCAAGATCATGCATGATCATATAGTACCCCGTATCGCCTGGAGGAGGCTGTCCACTTGTAGATAGCGTGACAGATAGATGGACTGCCAATATTGCTTCAAATATTTGGCCGTCCGTTGGATCTATCCCATTTTCATCCTCTTCGCATCACCCCCCTTATGTTCGAGGGTGACCGTCACGACGAGGACCGCCGTGTACTCGCTACTGGGGATGCATGCTGTCATGCTATTCAACTAACTTGAACGCAAAGCCTTTCGTTTCTCCTTATTTACTCTAGTCAGGCGAAACTAGTCGGAGGTTTCTCCCGATGTCGCTATCATCGAATGCGATCACCACCCTGGTGGACAATGCCGATATCTCGATATCACACCGAGGTACCGTTTGGTACGTCGATACTTTTTCTCCATATTGTATAGCCATGAAGTTGTGTTGACCTCTTATCCAGGTACTGGGCTGTCACAGGCATCTTCTCATTCTCAGCCATCGCTTTTCTAGTCGGCAGCTTCGTCGTCCGCAACCCACATGTTCGACTTCAATACTACCTCTCGGCATTATCGAGCTATATCCTCTCCATGGCATATTTCGCCATGGCCGCCAATTTCGGATGGGTAGCGGTCGAGGTTGAATTCCCTCGAGTGGGCCAGTTCGTCGTCATCGATAATGGAACCGAGAATCCTACTCGACAGGTCTTCTGGATCCGCTACGCTGGCTGGTGAGAACGTCCTTTCAACAAGATAGATACCAGCAACCTAGTTTGTTTCACCTGCTAACAGGTCCTCGTCCAGGCTGCTCGCAACACCCCTCTTGATGACGCAGTTGCTCCTGCTGATAAACGCTCCGTTGAAACTTATCCTTCACGAAGTCTTCATGGTCAGCATAGTGATGATGACCGGCCTTGGAGCTGCCCTGATACCCAACGTTTACAAGTGGGCATACTTGTAAGTTGTTCCCTGTCCATCCCGGTGGCCGTGTTTCCTTTATTCTGACGCAGCTATCAGTGTCTATGGCTTCATTGCATGTGCTGCTCTCGGCTGGACGATGCTGAAGTCCGGGTACAACCACGTACGCGCAACAACTCCCTCTTTAAAACGGGTGTATCTCACGTTCTGCATCGCGGTATCGACGATCTTCCTGTTGTATGGCTTAGCATGGGGCATGAACGAAGGAGGCAACTTCATGTCTCCTACTGGTGAGGCAGTCTTCTATGGCATTCTTGATATATGTGGAGGACCGCTTTACTGTGTGTTTCTTCTATGGGCGGCTCATCGGTATTATCGAACGGAAAAGCTACAGCTTCCCATCTAAAGGCTATCATGCTGTATTGCGATCCGAGATAGATAGATAGAATCAACTTAGATGGCTTCTCGTTCACTGCTTGTTCTCTTTATGCGCTTTCAGTAAAACGGTGGTAGATGAGAAGAGGTTGATTGACGTTGAAATAAAATCTTATTGACTTTTGTCTTTGTCGTGGCTGAAGACTTCCGCTTGGCTATCTAACCGCATGCCAGTGGCCTTTGTATGCACAACTCGTTTTGAGAGGCTCGATACGATATTTCGAGGATTCTACGAAGTACCATGGACGATGTACTATTAATCCGGATCTGTAGCCATCTTCGGAGTGCTCCGAGTATATGCCACCATGTTATCACCGGCTTGCTATAGGATCTACCTCAGAGTTACCATGTCAATAGTCACCATGCCAACGGTCTAGTCCAGTCCATGAATAACTTTACAGGACCGCAATTTAAATGACTTCGTGTTCATTTAATACCGTTTCCGGTCGCTGTGACGGGGTAGAATCCTGGTATTCAGGGAACAGGGGAATAGAGAGGATATAAGTTATATCCTGATAATTATAGCTTGGGGATGAAGTTTGCTATTAGCGGTATCTCCGTTGTCTTAATCGAACAAGTAGGGCCAAAATTGATCCAATAATGCCTGTGCCAGCAGTAAAGGCAATTCCCGAGAATCCATTCTTCCTGCGTAAAGTCCAGTGACCAGGCGAGCGAGCCTAGACAAGTTCCTATCCTTCCTATCCGCATCTATGGCGCTGGTATCAGAATGTGAAAGGATGTCAGCGATGATTTCATATCAATAGATTCCAAAAGGGGGTATAAGAGCCCAGGACATACGTAGCAGATGCACCCACCGCGCGTGCCACATTCGTGCCTGTTGATACACCTACGTCCCGGGTGGCATCTTCCGGGCTGATATATGGTTAGTCTTCTGCCTAGTCGCAGCTGCTAGGTGTATAAAACTTACGTCCCTGATGCCGAGCGACTCGGCCAGCTGAGGTGCGGAAAAGGTATCAACAACACCAGCAATGGCAGAGCTGGCGAGCAGAAGAGTAATGAACCAGTGAAGCTGCATGTTCCGAAACGTATTTGGGTATGGTTTGTTATAGAAACAGACTTGAATCCCTAGTCAATAGTTTGGCAGATAGATGGAATGCTTGGGAGGTGGATCGATTCTAACGGCCATGAAAGCTCCTTATATAGCATCTTGAGACGCTATTGAAGAGGTATAGAATGCATGAGATCTGAATTTGAGAGCAAAGTTACACTGTTTCTGTATGCTTCCGTGGAAAACCTCATGGTTGTAGATGGTAGAACAGAGTCACCTTGATGGTCTTTTGTTCTGTGGTATAGTATTGGGTATAATAGTAATGAACCGCAAGTTCCGGCTAAGATATGAGCATCCTATCCATTGAATTCAACTGCTCTCTTTCTTGAAGGCGGACATCTAGCATCCTCCTCCACGGCCTGCTGGCACCGTAGGCAAATATTTGAACAGTCCGGAAACAGCCAGACTGGGCCAATCCCACCGTATTGGATTTTCCTAGCAGCAAGACGAGAATGCTGGTGCAACATCCGCCCGAGTGGCAATGGCATCGCAGGGATACCTCAAGTATCCCCCAAGTATCTCACGGTGGAAAATCCGGCAGCGAGGACCAAGCCAGCATCCGGCGGCGGGCAAAGGACGATAACCAGCGGCCGCTCGACCCCCCCAGCCAGTCCTGCCCAACAGCCACTCTTGATCCTTGCCGGCTATCGTATTTTCGTCCCTTTGTCTGCTGATGAGCTGGCGGTGTGGGCGACGGCCGGCTAACCGTCGCTGTCTCCCGGTGGTGGTTGTCCGCATAGCTGGTTACCGACATAACTATAAGACAGCGTCCTACTCTGTCTCCAACCCAGTCGCCGCGAGACTCCGTCCTGATAACGTCGTGCAGACCAAGGCAGACACGCAAGAGCCCGTCTGTATATCGCGACTAAACCCGGCATTAACGAGAGTCCGACTGCAGGCTAGCTAGTGAGCTGGCGATGGCGCTTGTCCCCCCACCGGCAGCGGCTGAATTAGCGATAGCCCCCACGGACCCGCCGGCTGTTTCGACATGCTCGACGCCGAGAGCTCGATACGATGAGACGGCAGTCGATGGGAAATCTGACAGTGACGTCGAGGACCGTTTCGACGGCGCAGGAAGAGGTGGTGACGCTGAGGGCCGGTATTCGGGTCGCCGGCCCAACGACGATGGCATCTACTACCCCGAAGGTGGCTTCAAGGCGTGGATGGTCGTCGTGGGGTCTTGCTTTGGCACTGCCGTTACTCTGGGGATGATGTGAGTCGATACTGGCATGTTATTCAACTACGTGTCACATCGCTTTGCTGCTCGTTTGCTTGTTTGTGTCTGTCCAGCTGCTCACGACGGGTACAGGAACACAGTCGGTACAATCCAGGCCTATGTCCGCGAGCACCAGCTCAAGGAGTACGACGAAGGTACAACCGGCTGGATATTCAGCACCTTCATCTTCCTTGGGTTTTTCGGCGGCGTCCAGGTTGGGCCTGTGTTTGATGCCCATGGCCCCAGGATGCTGATACTCGCCGGCAGCGTCTGTCTGGGTGCCAGCATGCTGCTGCTCGGACTGTGTACGCAGTACTGGCATTTCATGCTCTGCTTCGGCATCCTTGGTGGAACGGGAGCCTCCCTGATCTTCACGCCTGCTCTATCAGCCATCAGCCACTGGTTCAACGAGAAGCGGGCAACGGCTACTGGGATTGCTGCTGCAGGCGGCTCTGTCGGCGGGATCGTTTTCCCTCTCGCCTTGCAGAAGCTATACACAGTGGTCTCGTTTGCATGGGCTACGAGAATCGTTGGATTCGTCGTTATCTTTTGCTGTGCCGTGGCGGTCATACTGGTGCGCTCACGTCTGCCTCCAAAGCCTGGACAGACGGTTATACCCAGCCTACGCATCCTACGCAACCCGGCATATCTATCTGTCACACTGGGGACATATTTCATGGAATGGGCTCTCTTTGTCCCAATTGCGTATATCACTGCCTTTGCCCTGTCGACGGGTGCCATGTCCACCGCGTTCTCCTACCAGCTAATAGCTATAATGAATGCGGGATCCAGCATTGGCCGAGCGCTGCCTGGATATGTGGCTGACAAGCTTGGCCGTTTCAACAGCATGATTGCTGCTCTTGTTATCTGCACAGCCATGACCATTACCCTATGGCTGCCTGCCTCGCTTCTTACCACAACTCCTTCCTCAGCACCGACAATCAAAGCACTGTCCATTGTGTTTGCTTTGATATTTGGCTTTGCGTCTGGGTCCAATGTCTCCCTAGCTCCGGTGTGCGTGGGCCAGCTGTGTGACACGAATGAGTATGGGAGGTACTATGCAACTTGTTATACGATCGTCTCATTCGGCACTCTCACAGGCATTCCGATTGCGGGGAGTCTTCTCCAGCACACTGGCGGACGATACTGGGGAGTTGTTTTATGGACCACTCTCTGCTACGTTATCTCTCTAGCCTGCTTCATCTGGGGCCGAGCCTGCTGCGTCGGATGGAAGCTGGGCGTTAAGTTTTAGAGTGCTTTTATTCCCGACTAACTTAGAACTGCCATCTAGATCGGCAGGCAGGCGTGTTTCCTGAAGCTTCAAAGGGGAAAACTAGTTCATATATATATATTATTGCTTGCATGTATATTAATGGCGGGATAAAGGCTGTGCTAGTTGTATATGTGAAAGACATGCTGTTGCAGTGTTTGTTAGTTCCTCTCTTCCGCTTCGTGTAGGACAGCATGAGACCCTGGTAGCCAGCCGACTAGTCAGTTACACCGGCCAATGTGGCCACATCGTGTACTCCGTACTACACAGCGAGTCATTCGAGGTTAGAACGTACAGCGCTCTCACTGCACACAGCTACAGAATAATGTCTTCGTCCTCTTCATTGTCTTCTCCATCCTCTGCTGCTTCCACTGCCTCCTTGAGCCGCTTCGCTAGTTGTCGAAACGGAAAAGGAGCGTCCGGTGGAGAAAACTCCGGCCTGGAGCTGCGGCCCGCCGGGGCTCCATAACCATAACTGTAAATCCGGGTGGACTCACTCCATCAGGCATCATCAGGACAAAAAGTATATCTATACGACTGAGCTATAGTTTCCAGTGTTTCGTTACTAGCAAAGTATGGCTATTGTAATTATATGTCTGTTGAATATTGCATATGTACAGTCGTAGCTCATGTGGGTATCTTTACATCGACACAATCCTCTCCTGGCTCTCGGTTCTCCCATCCGTTCTGGTATGGCCATGGTCTGCATCGGACCGGACAGCCCCCATGGAAAAAGTTTCATTATGAGTAGCCGAGTGCGAGGGCCTCCCATCCGGAGCAGTCGAAGTAGGGGCCGATCTGCTGAATCTGTAGTCTTTTATTCGGTGCGGGAAGTGCTCAATGCTGTGAGACGCCGTCTCAAAGGCAGACCGGGACCTGGGAAATATCAAGAAAAACGACTGGCGGAGCATGGGCAAACAAGCAACTATAATGCCTGTATTAAGCTCAATCGCGCTCCATACCGAGATAAGGGCAACGCTCCCTGTGTAACCACTAGCCGTTAGATACGCTATGAAGTGGTTTATAGTGGTACAAGTGAACTCACATAATGGGTCATGGTTGTCAGAGGTCCCAAAGATAGTTGTGGTTCGAATAATGCTTACTATGCAGCAGCTGTAGAGCATGAAGAGTTAGCATACTGCAACAAGAGGGCGGGTAGAGTCGTATCTTTTAACTCACAATAGGCCAAGGGAAAAGATGAAGATAACCAGTATTTTATCCTTTTTGTTGGTTAGGAGTATGATGGATTCTCGGATTGGAAGAACAAGGATAAAGAAATCAGTGATAACATTTAACAGTGCATATGAGACCCTCCACTCCGCATTTTCAATGCATTTGTGTGGGACGGCGCGGTTCCAATATGCATATATGGGCTTGCATTGGAACACGGTTGGGAATGTGAAAGCGATGCCAGCCGCGGCTGTTATTGCCATGAGCGCATAGCAGGTCCATACAAACAGCTTCTGGACGTAAAATATCCGTACGAATAGTAGGAGGAATGATATTTTGATAAGAGATAGCGATATCTTGTATGATATTTGTAGGACGTACAAGTACTATATTGGCCATCCAGGATTAGTGAGCATCGATCGAGTCCGGGTTTGAACAGAGCCAGACAGAGGGAACAACCGGGCCAGCGTACCTTTAATGTTAGCACTTTGTCCGCTGGAGAAACCTCCCAGGTGTGTTTTCCTAGGCCATGTTCCACGCCTGAGATTGAAGTTTGGTGATTAGCAGCTTTGATCCGGGATGTCTCTTGGATAACTACCACTTACAGGTTATCTGTAGGGCAGTGTAGAGAAGCGCGAGGACCTTGTATCTCCGTTAATACAAACAAACAAAAAAAAAAAAAAAAAAAAAAAAAAAAAAAAGAATCGTAGAATTGGCACAGGGTAGGAGTCTTCATACAAATGCAGCCAGTATTGTCCAGTCGTCTGCGCCGATGGAGCGCTTCAGGTATCTCCCGACGAAACGGATGGCAACGAGGATTCCCGCGATGACAGCCATGACTAGACATAGTATCGACAGCTTCACTGCCCGCTGTGAACCATCTGCCATCGGGTTACCGGGCATCGCTATGCTTCTGTAGAGAAGAGCCGCCATCGCACTTGGCTCGGTGGAGAGCGCGAATCGCAGACAGCAAGATCGGCTCCTAAAAGCCACGAGCAACTATCCCACGCCTGTCAAAAGCCGCTCATGGGGGATCGTTGCGCTCCACGCAAAAGATGATTCCTGTCCACGCCCGCCTGCAGCGAAACCGTTTCGTGTCACGACATGAGTCCAGGTAGGAAGAAACTTCGGAAACAGCTCGTTGGTCCAGTCAAGCCAACCGCTCTAGCATAGCATAGCAGATAATGGCCCAAACTAGGCGAGCAGGAGGAAGAGGAGGCTTCTGTCAGAGCGGCGGAGAGAGCTTGTCCCAAAGGTAGTGTTGTTTTTTCTGGCTGCAGCCAGCACGTCTCTGGGCTCCCCCGGAAGAAGCTGATATGATATGATATGGAATCCCACAGATATGTTAGCCAGCCAAGTGTGTAACTCCCTGCTATGCGGGCGAGGATCATCACTAGATTCTATCAACCGCAGCACCTAAAATTGCTGCTAGGTTGATTCCAAGTAGCGAGCGGGCCCTCCGTACGAAGTAGATATCCGAGCAACTCTGGGGCCGGTGTCTGATCACACAGGAATCGAGCTGGGCGACAGAGCGATCGTCCGTATCAGGACATCTTCTTCATCTCTGGATCAGGGCGTGTTTCGGGTTCAAGCGAGCTAGTCGAGCCCTTGCAGGGGGTGGAAGGATTTTTTTACCCAACTAACCCTCGCTCGGGATTGTCGTACACTGCAGTCCGTATCGAGAGACGGCAGCGCCCAAGAAAACATATAACATTTGGTTTAGTGAGCTGCTAACAACCTTAAGTCGCCATCCGGCCAGCGTTTAAATGTGAGCGATCCTTCAGATCCGAAGACAGCGGAACTGTGGGCGCGGTCTTCCCGCGCGGAGGCTGCTCGGGTCAAGGCCTGGATCGAGCATGAGCTGGCACTAATATTCGTTTTGCTCGCGAGCAGCGGCCGGAATGGTGTGAAGGGCTGGCAGCCGGTGCCCTTCGCCTAGAGGGAGGAGTGGCATCAAGGCCCGGCCAGTCGAAGTAGATGAAGGAAGCCTGCACGCCACCAGACTACTGGGGAGAACTCGTAATGCGTAATGGGTTTTGGGTGCATTCGTTAG